TTTTTTTGGGTTTGGCAGCCGCACCTTCTCCTTCTCCCTTTAAAAGAAAGGAAACTAGGGTTTTGTTAAATTTGGGTTTTGATGGGCTGCTCAATATTGGGCTGGGCTTATGAGTTTGTTTTAGTAAATTTCATCCTCAGGCCTCAGCTTTTTAATTTTTTCAATTGAGTCCTTTTCTTGTTTTTTTTCTTCAACTTCTCCCCCAAATTTTTCATAAAACTTTTTTATAACGATAAATCCGAAACGATATGAGAAAAATTTCGGTATCCGGTACGTACCGTTTCAGTAACAAAACTGGTACGCATGCCGGTACGGTATTGACTACTTTGATTTCTATTGAAAAATATAAGAATCTAAAAGTGAAATATTTTAGAGGGCTTTAATTATGGTTATCATTAAATTTGTCAAGATTATTGCAGTTGTTAAATTTTTATTTTAATTTAATTATTAAAATTAACTTATAATTGATAAAATAATTAATATTCATTATTTAACAAATTAACATTAACTTATAAATAATTATTTACAAATATTATAATTAATTAGAAAAACTATAAATTAAAAAAATTATAATTAAAACCTGTGAACTTAACAAAATCATGAGTGATAATAATCTCAGCCTTTGAGAGTCATGTAAGTAATAATCTCACCTAATATTGATTCTTTTTATTTTATGAGTCAAGCCACTTAATTAAAACCTTTTATAAGAGAGAGGGTGAAAAAGAGAATAAGAGTTTGAAATTTGGTTATACATATAAGAAAGTTTTTTTTTTTTTTTTTACTATTAATTAAATTAATTACTCTACAACCCTTGCTTATTTTATATGCTCAAAAAATAATACGATCAATCATCAAATATATGCTAACAAATCAAGGAAGCTCTTAGAGCCTATTTTATTCATTGTTCATAAAAAAAAACCTATTTTATTCATTTATTATTATTTCGATCTTAAAAAAAAAGAAACACTTATTATTCCAATCACAAACTTGCAAAGTGAAACTATGGATCAATGAATCCCAAAGCGAAATCACTTAAACTTGGGATTCGAGGGACACCTGCTTATAAATAAAAATACAGAAAGGGAAACCAAGCAAAAAACAGGCCAAAAAATCACGCCCAAAAGATTAGGTGCCCCAACTAGTATGGGTTATGACAACTTTGGCCCGAATTAAACAATAGAAATCCCTTCTCTTTTTGGCCATAACAATAAAAGTCCTTTAATTATCTTCTCTCCTTTTCCTTTTTTCTTCAATTTAATCGAATGTGTAGGGGGAAATGATTGATTTCCTGTCTAAATATCTTCCTATTTTCATGCTAAGATATAAAATGCTTAATCTATGGTAGTTTTAAAAAAAGTGAAGAAAGTTTATAGTGAAGTTAACTCAGTTTCAACCATAATTAGAGTATTACATGGTGCAATCATCTAAATAGTCTAGACTCCACAAGCCATCTTCGAGAAATGTGTGTCATAATCATTTGAGTAATATTAAAGATCACTTATAAGCTTAGCTACAAAAATTTTAACTTTTGAACACTCTTATACGCATTTTCTAATCATGTAAATCTTATAACATGTAATTGAGAAATATGTGTTTCAAATATTATGATAAAATTTTTAAAACTCTAAATATAAAACATTCACATAAATCAATTGTAAATGAAGCAATGGAGTTTCACCTTGCAAAATGCAGCCTATTTTTGCTCTAGCTATTTGAGTCTTAAAGCCACCCAAAAATTGATATCTTCCATGCCCATATTGCTTGCTTAACCATCACCCTCAACCTAAGTTTCTGATCATTATCTCTACCAATTTCGTCATGCTAGGGGCAATAACATAACTAGTTAGGTTCTCAATTCTCATTAACATGTGTCTGTCGTTTATTGAACACTAATTACATATTGATGCAACATTAAGAATTTCCATTGAAATGAGTTAAAAAGATATTGAGGACGCTAAATTGAATAACCTTTTTGTCACTATGAGAAAATCATCTTCAACTGATTCATTATGAAGGGATTTTGGTGCAGATTACATCACAAATTTCATAATCATAATCATAGTCACAACTAAGGGAACAAGGATGAAACTCAATGTCAAGCCACAAGTGGGGTAGGTTTCAAGCTAGTGGTCTCTTTTGAAGTGAAGGAGAAAGCAATGCTACTTGGATGTCTTGATTTACTTGTTTTGATGCTTTTATTTTGTAAATGGTTGCTAGTTTTTGTTGTGATATAAAGGAATTTTTAGGTAAATTTAATATCTACATCAGACCATCTAATGCTTTCCACCTTATTTGTCTGTCACACTTCTCTTTTTATTTCAAGTCTATTAACTTTCCTTTAAGTTGTATGAGTATCAAATTGCAAAATATCAACTATCAACTTAGAAAGGCTTGTGCTACTCATGAAATTTAAAAAAAAACCATATTGATCTAAGGATTAGTGTTTTGCATATTAGTACAATTTAAAACGCAAAACACTTTTTTTATATAATAATATATAGAAAAAAGTTATGTAGTCCAAATTGCGCTACTTAAAATATTAAAAAATATTTAAAAAATCACCTATTAGTCCAACACATGAACTTGCAAACTGAAACTATGGATCAATGAATCCCAAAGGGAAAACACTTAAACTTGGGATAAAAGCTAGCACTCAGGCTGCCATAAGAAGGTAACACCAACATTCTCATCATTGCAGTACAAGTAAGGATGTTGCTTAAACCATTGTGCTTGTAAAACCTTCTTCACCATCATCACAACTTCCTTGTTGCTCAACGAACTCGAGTTCTCCTTTAACACCATCTAGACCACATTGCTAAAAACTTCACATGCCTTCCCTCTGCCCTTACTCTCACTCACATCTACAATTGTCACATTTGTTTGGCACCCACTGAGCAAAATGCCTTCATCCAATTTGGAGGACGTTGAATCCAATTTGTCTTAGGGAAGAATAAATTTGAGGCTGGCATTAGCACCAAAGGATTCTAACATGTGGGTGTTGATGTTTGAGGAGTTGATGCTTGTGCATGAAGACAAGTTTTGCAGTACAAATTTGAAGGGAATGGTTTTAGGCTCGTAGGATAATGGTTTTTCATTCTTTGTGATAAAAGATGGTCCAATTTGTTCCTTCTCCCTATCACTGATGTTGACTCAATGTACTCTAAAAGGGGGGATGAATTAGAGTTTCAAAAATACTCCCATTTTGCAACCACAAAACCAAAATTAAAAAGAGTTGAGAATAAGAGCTTGCTCAATGATTTTATAGAGGTTCGGTCCAACCACTTGGAGCCTAATCCTCTACCTCGGCTTCACTCACCAAGGATATCCTCCACACTCTTCACTAAGAAAAACAAGGGTGGCTTAAAGGAGCCACTCAAACCGTTTACAAGAAGATGAATATTTCTCTCAAACCTCACCCCTTTACAACATAAATCTCAAGAATCCTCTCTATAGATCACTCTTGAAAGAATAATCACACCCCCAAGAAAGTACAATAATAGAACAAGAAGAGGATTACAAGCAAAGATCATTCAAAGATCAAAACTCAAGTTAAAGCATAAGTAGGTAGGTAAAAATATTCAATGCAATGCTCTAAGACTTGTTCCAGAACTGTTACCAATCATATGTATAGCCCCTTGCTCAAAAATAGTAGTTTTTAACCATTCGGGGTCATTAAATTCTCCACAGGTCACTTAATTCGAGTTGCAGAATTGTTAACACAGCCGGCTATTAAGAAAACTTGCAGCTGGCTTTGCGGGTTTCTTACACATTCTGTTTTCTTCGTAGAGCCTATTGCAAAATGTAAAGCCAGCTTTGTGGGTTTCCTGTACATTCTGTTTTTCTCGAGAGCCGACCGCGAAAACGTAAAGCCGGCATTAGGATTTCGACTTTAAAAACATTAAATAATCTTCAAATAACTCAACCGTTGTGCATTAAATGCGCTCTCACAGCCGATTGTAAAGTCAAAGCTGACTTAGCATCCATTTTTTGCGC